GGGGGTTGCGACCCCAAACCTGCCATAAATGCTGTGGGTGAGACCCTGAACCTCCAAAAAATGGGGTGGGTGAGATCCTGAACTTCCCAGAAACTGAGCAAGTGACACTCTGAATCTCCCAAAAAAAAACCAGCCCAGCTCCCGCAGTGACAGTGAGAGCACAGAGAGGTGCGTGAGAGCCCAAAACTCCCAAAAATTGAATGGGTGAGACCCTGAACCTCCCAAAAACACAGCCCGGCTCCCCCAGTGACAGCGAGGGCACAGAGGGGCGGGTGACACTTCGAACTTCCCAAAAAGGGGATGGGTGAGACCCTGAACCTGCAAAAAACACAGGCCAGCTCCCCAGTGGCAGCTGAGAGGGCACAAAGTGGTGGGTGAGATCCCGAACATCCCAAAAATGGGACGGGTGAGACCCTGAACATCCCAAAAATGAGGTGGGTGAGTCCCCGAACCTCCTAAAAACACAGCCCAGCTCCCCAAAAACACAGCCCAGCACCCCAAAAACACAGCCCGGCACCCCCAGTGGCTGCTGCGAGGGCACAGAGGGGCGGTGAGACCCTGAACATCCCAGAAATGGGGTGGGTGACACACTGAACCTCCTAAAACCAGAGCCTGGCTCCCCAAAAACACAGCTCGACCCCCCAAAAACACAGCCCGGCACCCCAGTGGCTGTTGAGAGGGCACAGAGGGGCGGGTGAGATCCAAAAACTCCCAAAAACGGGGTGGGTGACACCCTGAACCTCCCAAAAACACAGCCAGGCTCCCCAAAAACACAGCCCAGCACCCCCAGTGACAGAGAGTGCACAGAGGGGCGGGTGAGACCCCGAAACTCCCAAATATGGGGTGGGTGACACCCTGAACCTCCCAAAAAACAGACCCCAGCTCCCCCCGGGACAGCGAGTGCACAGAGGGGCGGTGTAACCCTGAACCTCCCAGAATGGGGTGCGTGACACCCTGAATATCCCAGAAATGGGGTGGGTGAGACCCTGAACATCCTAGAAATGGGGTGGGTGACACACTGAACCTCCTAAAAACAGAGCCTGGCTCCCCAAAAACACAGCTCGAACCCCCAAAAACACAGCCCGGCACCCCCAGTGACAGAGAGTGCACAGAGGGGCGGGTGAGACCCCAAACATCCCAAAAATGGGGTGGGTGACACCCTGAACCTCCTAAAAACGGGGCGGGTGAGACCCTGAACTTCCCAGAAACTGAGCAAGTGACACTCTGAATCTCCTAAAAAATCCAGCCCAGCTCCCGTAGTGACAGTGAGAGCACAGAGAGGTGCGTGAGAGCCCAAAACTCCCAAAAATGGAGTGGGTGACACCCTGAACCTCCCAAAAACACAGCCCGGCTCCCCCAGTGACAGCGAGGATACAGAGGGGTGGGTGAGACCCCGAACCTCCCAAAAATGGGGTGGGTGAGACCCCAAACCTCCCAAAAATGCGGTGGGTGAGACCATGAACCTCCAAAAACTGGGGTGGTTGACAGCTTGAATCTCCCAAAAATGGGGTGGGTGACACCCTGAACCTCCTAAAAATGGCCTGGGTGAGACCCTGAACCTCACAAAAACACAGCCTGGTCCCCAACCTGTCCCCCGCCTGTCCCCAGCCTGTCCCCCGCCTGTCCCCCGCCACTCTCAGGGGTTGCTCAGCACCTCCCGAGCGCAGCCCGCGGTTCCCGGGCCAACGGGGACAGCTCTGCTGCAGCCCGGTGACCTCCGGCAGCCCCGTGGCACGGCCGGAGCGGAGCAGGGAATGTCCAGCCGCTGTTCTGGGGATCCCTGAGCACCCAGGGGTGCTCCCTGCACCCCACAATCCCATCACGATCCCCCCAGAGCCRTTCCCTGCTGTCCCCACCATTCCCCTTCCCACGGGACGATCCCGCTCCCGGCACACACCCGCGGCTCCGTGGAGCCTCCCAGCCCGCAGGGAATCGCWCTTTTTGTTATTTTTTTTGTTTTATTTTCCTGCTGAGAACACGGAGGGAAGCGATCGCAGCCCTCCCGTCTCCTCCCGCCGCAGCCCGGCGCTGTTTACACCGCGGCCAGCCGGGGGAGAAAGCCAGGAAATCCTAAGTGACAGCTCATTCCCTTGTTTTCTGCCTGTCTGGGAGCAAGTGCGAGCTCCAGCTCCGAATTTCCTGCCTTTTGTTGGCTCGTGGCAGGATTTAAATGTATGGAGAAWTCCCTGCCCCCGCCCCGAGAGCCTCAATTCGTTTATGGGGCCCGCATTGTTCTGGGAACAATGGGAATAGGAACAGGGAGTTCGGTCCCATGGAAGAAAAACGCGTTTGCTTGATGGTTCTAATCCTTCCGGAGGTCAGGACCAGATTTTTTTTTCTTCTGAAATGCAGATTTGGCAAAAATATTCGCCCTCCGCAGAGGGCCTGGGTGTGCAGATAACAAACCCAGCCCCGAGGAGCCTGCGCAGGACACGATCCCAGTTTGGGACACGATCCCAGTTTGGGACACGATCCCAGTTTGGGACACGATCCCAGTTTGGGATTCCCCGATTCCCAGTCCCACTGGGGTGGGTCCCTGCTCTCCACACCCTCATCCTTAAATCCAGCAGGTCCTTTGTGGCTTTAACCAGGTTGGGACATTTTTAGGATGTCCCTGACCGTTCCTCCCTCCTGGGCAGGCAGATTTTGCAGCCACATTTGCTCCCAAAATTCCTT